TATATAAAATGTTATATTTCCATATATTAAAAAATCCATGTCACACATTATTTGTCACAACCTTTAACTGAGTAAAACGAGGCCTTTTCTAATGTCATCAGAACAGTGACATTTTTATGTATATTTATTAATTTAAGGGAACAACAATTAGTTTAGAAGTATAGCTACAATTTCATAATTATTTAATATTGTCATATATTTAAAAAATTAACGCCACACATATTATTTATCATAAACTATAATTGTAAGAGTAGAATGAGGCCTTTTCTAATTTCTTTGGAACACTGACACTTTAATATGCATTTATTCATTCAAGGGCACAATAATTCATTTAAAACTACAAAAATAATTTCACAATTATGTAATATTTCCATATATAAAAAAACACGTCACAAATTTGCATTATTTGTCATAACCTATAATTGAGTAGAATTAAGCCTTTCCTTGTTTCATAATATCTCCTTTAAGTTGTTCACCAAAATATGCGTTTTATTATTTTACATTAACAATAATTATAAACTTTATGTATCATATATGCATGCAACTCATATCTCACATACTCCATTTTCTAATTACCTCTGAAGCTCTATTAAAAGAACCATTGATCACACTGACTATGACTCCTGACACCTGTAAGTAAATATTAAATATATCCATAAATATATTCTGTTTTAGTTACCGATTCAAAACACTTAAACACAGAGCTGTGTCTGAAAAGAGGAACTGGAAACGCTGGAACGACTGCTTCAACTCGACGATTATTCTTTAGTATTACATTTTATATTTCTTAAGTTGCATAATCGATTGTTTTCGCCTTCAATGATACGTGGTTACATTTTCACTAGCATAATGATACAATATTTCACTAGTAGATCTGTGCTAGCCGCTGACGTTACTCATACTGTAGTAATTCACCACAATGAGCTGAGAGTGTTTGCATTTGACCAGAGAATCACACAACAGCTGAAGGAAATTATGAGTTCGAGCTGCGACGTGACACTTTAAGCCTAAAATAACCCTGTAAACTACTAATCCTGTTCTGAGTTAAGCTCGCTAGCAGGCTATCCGCTTTCATATCAAGCAATGCAACGTGTACCAATTTACAGCCCGCGGATCAGCTGATCAGAACCCGTGCGGTCAGTCGATTCCGGGATTTTAGATCTTTAGGCTGTTAGACACTTACCATATGGAGCTGATGTCAAAGCTGCAATCACCTGATGATCAAAACAGACGCTGAAACGTTCCTAGGTTTCACAGTTGTATCGAAACATGTCATGTGTTGGATGAGGAAGCCCGTGACGTCATGCGTCTTCCCTCCTCCTCCTCCTCCTCCTCCTCCTCACTCCAGCTGCCAATTGTACACGTAACTTACGTACGCACAGACAGACAGACAGACAGACACATACACACACACACACACACACACACACACACACACACACACACACACACACACACACACACACACACACACACACACACACACACACACACACACACACACACACACACACACACACACACACACACACACACACACACACACACACACACACACACACACACACACACACACACACACACACACACACACACACACACACACACACACACACACACACACACACACACACACACACACACACACACACACACACACACACACACACACACACACACACACACACACACACACACACACACACACACACACACACACACACACACACACACACACACACACACACACACATGTTGTGTTTCCATGTTTTATGGGGACATTCCATAGGCTTAATGGTTTTTATACTGTACAAACTGTATGTGCTATTGCCCTACACCAACCCTACCCCTAAACCTACCCCTTACAGGAAACTTTGTGCATTTTTACTTTCTAAAAAAAACTAATTCTGTATGATTTATAAGCTTGTTTCCTCATGGGGACCTCAAAAATGTCCCCACAAGGTCAAAATGTACTAGTATTACTATCCTTGTGGGGCCATTTGGTCCCCATAACGTGATAAATACCAGGTACACGCGCACACACACACACACACTCAATTGGTAACCTGAGAATATTGCATACTACATTGTTGTGGCCATTTAAATTGCATATTTTTGACTAGCAGTAAAGTTTTAAGGAGGAATCGCATGAATGCACTATTCCGAAGCTCTAAACAAGCTGATAATGGGCATGTTTTCTTATTGTATGGTATGAACATGTGAGAAACTAAAGCTCAGGCCTTACAGAGGCCTATTTCAGCCAAACCAAAATATATTTAAATTATATTGTACACTGAGAAATGATCGTCCTCGTATACAGTATTAATTACAATCAAACAGTAGCCTACGAATTTAGTATAGTCTTCAGTTTGTATTGTTGTATAGCCTAATGCAGAATAAGTACATATACTTTAAAGCCTTGAATAAAAAAAGCTATTAAAAATATATTGTCACACTATTTGGGATTTTTTATGGGAAACTTCTTACAGTGATTCGATAAAAATACCATAAAAATTAAGAAAAAAAATACACTTTTCATAGAATAAGATATCTTCCATAATTTACGAATATTTAAAGTATTATTCCACAATATTTAAAATTATATGCCATAGCAAAATGTAAACATTTGAAACTATTCCAAAACAGCAACAAGAAAAATGTACAAATACATTGTTTTGGACAATGGCAACTGTTAATTAGATACAATGGATACAGTTTTAACATATGAAACTATAACTTGACATTTAATATCTATGGGGAAATACCCTTATCCTGAAATTAACTTCACTTAAAATCTATCTATTGTGTTAATTTTGTTTTATCCAATATAGGCCTATATAGCTCAAATAAGATTATATTATTTTGGAGGACAGAAAAAAATAATAATTTAAGAGGGGGAAAAAATCACTGTTAGAAAAACAAGTAATGACTTGTTATATACCGGTAGTTACTGAAATACAGCTCGAGCTCTTATGACTTCCCGCCTCTCATGTGACAACTAGCCCCGGCGTGCCCTACATGTTGCATTTTTAATACTAACCTCTAGGTGGCAACCAATACAAATGAAGCGACTGAATTCGTGTCACAACGGTCGCACATTTAACCCTCCACCCCCGATGAATGCACAAGTCCGTTGCATTCTCTCTCTCAAAAAAAAAAAAAAAAACGTTAATAAAACTAAAATGCTGTAAACCAATGCTTTAGAGAAGTGACATTGGGACAGATAGTAGAGGAGGCGTGGTCGCTCATGAATATTACCCAGAGAGGCGTGGCTTGGCTTCACCTGAGACTGCTCTGAGGAGCGTGCAGCATGCAGCGCAGTACAGTCAGATCTCTGGAGCAGAGGCATCATTAGCTGCATAACGGGATCATATGGAAACACAGGGTGACTGATGCTTATATTTTTTCTGAAACAGTCAGGTAATGTAACTACAGAGTTTATGATATATCTTTGACATTTTGCATGTGCTTTTTTAATCACATCTGTGTAGTTAGGCTATAAGTAGGTATCTTTGCGCATAATCTATTGTAATATAAACGGAGCCTGCTGGGCTCTCTACACGCAGGTGAAGATGACTGGGAATGAGTGCTAGAAGTCTCCTTTAAAAATACCGCAGTGGTGTGCAATCTGATGTAGACCACACGCAAGGCACAAACTAAAACACTTTTTATAATCTATCTATCTATCTATCTATCTATCTATCTATCTATTTGTTTTGCAAGTGTACTTTTTGCGCTAATAAATCTGTCAGTAGATTTGATCTGTCATCTGAAAAGATGTCAGTATGTTAGAGCTTCTTTTTTTCTCGAAGTTGATCAGGGGTTGAAAAATGCATATGTAAAATTAAAAAATTGGTTCATTGTAGCATTGTACATTGTTATAAATGTAAAACTTAATTAATACAACCCTGCTACATTAATATTAATTATTAATAAAAATGTAAACTTAGTAAATTGCTAGCATGCATTTTATCTGTGCAGTATTTAGTTGGACCAGAGGTTGGATTAACACTGTTCATGTCCTCGGTTTATTTCCTGTGCTGGATTAAATTATTATTTTTGATATCTTTTCTATACAAGTAAAATTGCATCACAATGACAGAGAATGGCAGATGGAGCGGGTAACATTTACTTCTGTGACTAAAAGACGCATTTAGAAATTCAGACAGAAAATCCGCCTAGAATAATTTATA